TCTCTGTCTCTGTTTCTGTGTCTGTTTGCCTCTCTCTGTCTCTGTGTCTGTCTGTCTGTCTGTCTGTCTCTCTCTCTCTCTCTCTCTCTCTCTCTCTCTCTCTCTCTCTCTCTCTCTGCTGGGCTTGAACTCAGGGCTTTGTGCATGCTAGACAAGTGCTATACCGCTGAATCATGTCCCAAGCCCTGACCCTGAAGTTATAATTTGCTGGGCAGCTGTCAGGGACACTGCTACCAGATCCGTCTGCTCTTCTACTCCCAATATTTTTTCCTTGGGGAAAGAATTGATATGGTTTCTATATCAGTGGTGTCACTTTGAGAAGAAAGCCTAGATCTCTATTCTGTGGAGGTAGCTGTAGTTCATTTACTTATACATGGTGTTTCTACTCACTTGTTCATTCACTTGTCAATCCATCCATCTACCATCCACCCAACTATTCATCCATCCATCCATCCATCCATCTGTCCGTCTGTCCATCCATCCATTCATCCATCCATGCATCCATCATGCCAACCAACCAAACCATCTTTCCTAATGCCTCTCTGTGCTCATCCTTATGCTTGGTGCAGGAGGCCTCCATGTAGACAACATTGGTCCAGCCTTCAAAGGGCTCCCTGAGGGCTGTTAACGTACCTATTGCCTCCGCAGATGAGAGAGATGCATCACGAGAATGTCGCCACCTGCCTGGGCTTTTTCGTAGCTCCAGGGATCAGTGCTCTGGTGCTGGAGTACTGCACCTGGGGCAGCCTCGAGGACCTGCTACAAAACGAAGCCCTGTGGCTAGACTGGGCCCTCAAGGCCTCCCTACTTCTGGACTTGATCCAGGTAAGGAACCTTTCCTGGAGGTGTAGGGGCACAGGGAGGGCAGGGAACTCAGGTCCCACACCTGGGTTCTTCCAGCTTTGTCTGAGAAACCAACAGTGTAGTGAAAGGGGAAGTGAGGCAGGAAGGCCTTCTGGGGCCCAAGGGAGTTCTGAGGTCCCTCTCATGCATCACAGATCCATGGGATCCCCATTATGTCCACCCCAGGGCATGCGGTGTCTGCACCATCGCCACTTCCCACATGGCCATCTCAAGTCCTGGAACTGTGTAGTGGATGGCTGCTTTGTGCTTAAGGTCACCAACTATGGCTGTGCTGATCTCCTGCATGTGCAGTGCTGGCCTGGACCCCAGGCAGCCCCAGAAGGTCAGCTCCAGCATGGGCCAGGGATTGATAGGTTCTGAGACCTCCTGTGTACACCGGAGCCTTGAGAAGCAGGGAGGGGAAGAGGATGTCCTACTGTCAGTCACTTCTTGTGGTGTGACATTGAGCCAATGACTCCTACACTAGAGGAGTCTTGGGTGCTTCATCTATAACCCCAGAAAATAGAAAAACCCATGTCCTCCTAGGGCACAGGAAAGGCAATGACATCGCAGCTGTGAAGTGATGGCCCGCCTGGCCCAGCCTGCTGCAAGGAGTGGCACATGGCCCAGTCCTATGATTGTAGAGCTGCTGTGGACAGCTCCTGGACTGCTGTGGGAGCTCTGGGACACCAAGCAGGGCACCCGCAAAGTGGACATCTTCAGCATGAGCATCATCTTCCAGGAGGTGCTGATCCAAAGCCACTCCTCCTCGGGGCTCTCAGCAGAAGGTACACTGTCCGCCTCCCCTCCCCTGGCCTGTCCCTGGCTGCTGTCTCCAAATAGTTAGGGAGCTCTGTGACAATCAGAAATCACTCAGTGGGCATCTGAGTCTGATTGTGAGACTGAGTTTCCTTGACTTAAGCCTGGCAAGCCTTTGGCTGCTCTGCCCAAGTGGCAGCTGACCAGCTCCAGCTGCTGGAGGCATTGATTTGGGGGGCCAACTCTGGCTCCTCTCTTCCTGCCCAGTGCATGGCCACATCTTCAGGGACTCATGCCCCTCAGCCCAGCCCAGATTGTGTCCATGCAGATCTCAGGCCCATATCCCTCACACAAATCTCTCTCTCTCTCTCTCTCTCTCTCTCTCTCTCTCTCTCTCTCTCTCTGGGTTTTTCATCTTTAAAATGGAAGTCAATAAAAATGTGCCGGCACCATGGCTCACATGGCCTGGCCACTCAATGTTTGCAGGCTCACTGCCCACCTGGTAGAACCCTTGCCAGGGCCTCTCTGTCCCCATATTTGATTCCCATACACACTTATAGGCTAAGCCCTCTCCTGGTTCCCATGGTCCCCTGGCACGTAGCCATTTTCTCTCTCCCAGCCCCAGGGCCATGACCTAACTTCAGAAATGTTCCCTCCATGTTCTTTGTACCAAAAAAGAGAAAGAAGCAGCCCCAGAGCCTCATACAGTACTCAACCATTGGACTGTCATCATCTGCTAACTACAAAAATCATGACACATTTGCCCTGAAAGCAATGACGCTTTGACATGGATTTGTGTTTTATCCATCACAACACCCCCTGCATGCCTTCATACCTGTTGTCCATGTGCTTATAAGATGGGACAGTCATTCCATGCTACCCTCAGTCAGGAGCCCAAGGAAGGCCTGAGAAGGGACTGACATCCAGAAAACTTTCTCTTTCTGGTCCAGGGCCTCCCACCTCGGATCCCAGCCCTCCTCAGGGAAAGTTAATCTGCTGTGCTGCCTAAGAACCCAAGAGGTCTGCGGTATGGTGTGCCCATTTCATAGCTGGGGTAATTGAGTCTCAGAAAGCTTACACAGCATGCACAGAATGTAAATGGGTGACTAGAGGCCCCACGCTGACCCACCAGCCACTGAGAAGGGGCACTGGGGGGAGGGGAACCTGCTAGGGAGCAGCACCTCACATCTGTCACCTTTTCTGTCAACTTCCCTCTCAAGAAGACCATTTACTAAGCTCATTTCATAGATGGGGAGACTGAGACTGAGAAAGTCATAGCCTTCTCCACCCTCTCATAAAGATGTGGTAGCAGATCCAGATTCAAGTACAGCTCTCCCAGCTCCTCATCTGAGACAACTTCCCTGCCCACACCCTAGGAAAATTCAAGAAGGCACCAAGGCTCTGTCCATGGCCAGCCACACCCTAGGACCAGAAAAGGGGGAGGGAGGCCCAGGGTGACCTTATCCACAGACCCCCTAAGGTCTGCCCTCCCCTACCTCAGACCTTCTCCCATGAGCCCTCTGGGATCCCAGGTCCATGGCCCATATGATGTTTCTGGCAGAAATCATCCAGAAGGTGGCATCTATCCCTTTTCTGTGCCTGCCACTGGTGTCCCCTGACCACGGGCCACACGTGTGCATCTAGCTGATGAAGCAATGCTGGGAAGAGACAGACTAAGCCTGGACCAGATCTACACCCAGGTCAGGGCTCCGGGAAGAGGTAGGCACCTATCCAGGGTCCTCACTCAGCTTGACAAGAGCCCACCATGGGCCTGGGTCCTGGAGATGTC